ACCCTGACTCAGTCTTCCCGCTCCCCCATGTCCTCCTCTTCCCTTTTCCCCCTTTCTTTTTCCCAGCTCCCTCTCCCCTCCCCCCATGCTCCCAATCTACTCAGGAGATCCTATCCCATTCCCCTTCTCTGGGGTACCATGGATCTCTCTCTTAGGGTTCTCCCCGTTTCCCAGACTCTCTGGTGGTGGGATTGTAGGCTGACACTCCCCTGATCCATGTCTAAAATCCATATATGAATGAGTACATACCATGTTTGTCTTTTTGTGACTGGGTTACCTCACTTGGGATGATTTCTTCTAGTGTCATCCATTTGCCTGCAAATTTCAAGATTCCATTGTTTTTTTCAACTGAGTAGTACTCCATTGTGTAAATGTACCACATTTTCTCTATCCACTCTTCAGTTGTGGGGCATCTAGGTTGCTTCCAGGTTCTGGCTATTACAAATAATGCTGCTATTAACATAGTGGAACAGACATCCTTGTTGTATGAATAGGCATCTTTTGGGTATATGCCTAAGAGTGGATTCGCTGGGTCTTGTGGTAGACTGACTCCCATTTTCCTGATTTCCAGAGTTGCTGTTGAGTTGGCACTCCAACAGCAGTAGAGGAGTCTTCCCCTTTCTCCACATCTTCTCCAATATAAATTGTCATTGGTGTTTTGATTTTACTGCTAGACTTTTCTATTTGACTGGCTGTACCATTTACATTTCCACCAGCAGTGAGGATTGTATTAATGCTACATCCTTAAAACATGTGCTATCATCTAATATAATTATAACTGTCTTCATTGGCATGGAGTGATGTTATAATTTTGATTTATGTGTCTCCAATGACTAGTGGTTGTATGTGCTTTTTTGTTTGTTTGTTTGTTTTACGAGACAGGGTTTCTCTGTATTGTTTTGGAGGCTGTCGGGCCAGCCCGGCCTCGAACTCACAGAGATCCTCCTGCCTCTGCCTCCCGAGTGCTGGGATTAAAGGCGTGTGCCACCACCGCCCGGCTGTTGTATGTTCTTATTAGGCAATTTTATACCTCTTTTGAGAAATGTTTGTTTAATCCCTTTTGTCCACTTAAAAAGTTTAATTGTTACTTAGTTGTGCTCTTTTTATATATGAAATTTAGTACATTCAGGGTTATAGGCACTGTTAAGTAATCTGCATGCATTTATGCATTTCTTTATAAGATAAATGATTTGTAAAGAAAAAAATGTTCATTTATTGGGTTGTCTTTTGACTTGTTCCTCCCTCTCCTTGTTGTACATTTTTTCTTTTTCCTTTCTTTGTGTTTTTTATGATTTAATAACAAGACTAATTACTTGGTCACTTTTCATGTGATCATATCCATATGTAAATCTTGACAGGGCAACACAGATGTTAAAAACAAACAAAAATAATTGCTCTATTCACATTTTAATCCCAGTACTTGGGAAGCAGAGGCAGGTGGATATCTGAGAGTTTTAGGATAGCCTGGTTTATATAGTGAGTTACAGGACTACACAGAGAGACCTTGTCTCAAAAAAATAAAACTCCAGAATAGCAACAAAAAGTCAGCTCTAGTCATTGCACAGATCAGTTAATTACATTTTCTTTTCCAACCATCCGTGAAACAGCTTTTAAATTAAAATTGGAATACACTTTCAACATGCAGTAATGAAGATAGCCAGTAGTTTGCAGAAAATATACTTTGTTTCATACTCCAACATCGTATGAGCCTGTTAATAAGATCTTTAACTTAAAAATCAGGACTCAGTCTGGCTTGAAGTCTTCCTTTAGTAGGGAAGCAGCCTCAGAACTAAGGCCCTTTACTGCTGCCCAAAGTGGTTTGTGCTGCTTCAGGCTGCTTGCTCTACTAGATTCCTGTGAGGTGCACAGAGATGAGGGCAAACCTTTGAAGGGTGTTCATGAATCTTCTGAATGCCCAGGGCAAGGTCCCCAGCACAGCCTGGGCCTTGGTGGCTTGCTGCCTTATCATGGCCATGCTGTTGTCAGGGATACATTCATGAAGGCCTCAAGCTTGTGAATCATTCCGTGGGAAAAGTCTCGGTAAATCATGTTCAGCATGCTAGTGAACTCATCCAACCAGGCAATAGTGTGTCTTCCGTACTGACATTCAGGGCCCCAGTCTCCAGGCAAGCAGGCCCATGGTATTGCAAGACCAGCACATTGCAGCCCTGTGTGTCCTTGGGTCCTCGGGGGGTCTCCTATAGTCCAGTGCACCTGACATTCTGCAGTGGCTCTGTGACATATGGCCACATCCCCAACTCCATATGGTTCCCAGCAGCATGGCCACTAGCCTGGTAGAGCCGAGCCCACCCACCCTCTGGCTGATCCTCCATGGTCTGCTTCACCAGCTTGGTAGAATTCTTCACAGCATAAATGTTTCAAGTTTGATGTATCCTAATTCATTTTTTCTTTTGTTGCTTGTATTTTTAGTGCCATATTTTAGAAATTATTGTCCTATTCAAAGTCACAAAGATTATTTATACTTGTTTTCTTTTAAGTTTTGTGTACTTAGTTCTTACATTCATTTAGTTTGTGTGTGCATGTGTCTGTGTGCATGACTTTTGGGGTATATATTTTATATTGACTGATACAAATTCCTTAGTTCACATTTTTCTTTTATTGGGACTTTTAAAAACTACCTTAGCCGGGCGTGGTAGCACACACCTTTAATCCCAGCACTTGGGAGGCAGAGGCAGGTGGATCTCTGTGAGTTTGAGGCCAGCCTGGTCTACAGAGTGAGTTCCAGGACAGGCTCCAAAACAATACAGAGAAATCCTGTCTTGAAAAAAACAACAACAACAACAAAACAACTACCTTTATGTTTCTTTGTATTTAAGCTTTGGAAAAGCGATGGAGGTCCTTTATTTTCTTGCTGTGCTAAGTATTGAACCCAAAGCTACAGATTTATTATTTTTTTGTGCTTAGTAAGCTTCATGGTTTTATCTTTAAATTAAATCATGTTTAGTAGACTATATTTAAGAAATGGATGTTATATATCTACCCTAGACATCCTGATGAGCCCAATTTCAGTTATTTTTCTGTTATTGGAAGGAGGTTTCTTTTCTCCCTATAAGGCTGGAGATTAAACACAGGGTATTGTACATACTAGGTGAGCGGTCCACTGCTGAGCTATGTCACCTGCCTTGGCTTTCTCACATTGTGATTTTAAATATTAGTTTAGTTCTGTATTTGAGTTGTCTTTTTTTTTCTATTTCTGTTTAGAATTATGAGATGGCCTTCCTGGCTGGTCTCAAACTTGGTGTTGTCCTTCTACCTCTGCTTCCCGAGTGCTAGTATTATACACATGGAATACCGTGCCTGGCTCTGTTCTTTTTCAGGAACTATAATCACACAAATATTATTTTACTCTTCTTGTATTTCTGTCTAACTTTGTGTGCCTCGTACTCTCCTCCCAATGCCATTTTTATTTTTTCTACTGTTTTACTTTAATGTCTTCTTTTGAAGTACTTATTACTTTTTACTCGAATTTATTCTCCCTTGAGTAGCTTGTAAATTCCACTTTTGAAAAACTAAACTTTTAGTCCCTCCCTGCACATACTTAAGTTCAGTTACCTTTTTAATTTCTTTTTTGTCTTTTTCAAGACAGGGTTTCTCTGTGTAGCTTTGTAGACCAGGCTGGACTTGAACTCACAGAGATCTGCCTGCCTCTGCCCCCTGAGTGCTGGGATTAAAGGTACGCACCACCATTGCCCAGCAGCATTTTAATTTCTTATATTTCTGTTTTGTTTTTATCTGATTTTGGTTTGTTTCTTTTTTTAGTTTAGTTGAAGATGTGGGTACTCATATAAGTATATGTCACTCTGATTTTCTAATTCAAGGTGATTCTTTTTTTTTTTTTTTTTTTTTTTTTTTTTGGTTTTTCGAGACAGGGTTTCTCTGTATTGCTTTGGAGCCTGTCCTGGAACTCTCTCTGTAGACAAGGCTTGGTCTTGAGCTCACAGAGATCCACCTGCCTTTGCCTCCCAAGTGCTGGGATTAAAGGCATACACACCACACCCGGTTTTGTCACAGTAACAGAGAAGCAAACTAGAACATTATTTTATTTAGTTTTTAGTTTTTGTTTTTGTGACAGAGTGTCATGTATCCCAGAGACTGGCCTTAAATTTTATATGTAGTCTAGAATGCCCTTGAACTCCTGATCTGCCTCCCTCTGCCTCCTGTCGTTTTTTAATTATAAAAACATTTTAACCATGCATTTAACCCAATATACCAAAAATAATCATTTTAATATATGATCAGTATTAAAATATATTAATGTTGTATTTTATATTCTTTTATTTGGCCAAGTCCTTGAAAATTGATATGTGTTTTATATTTATGGAACATCTCAAAATGATCTAACCACGTCTTTTACTTTATTTGAAGCAGAGTTTTGCTATGTAACCCAAGTTGGCCTCAAATTTGGTATGTAGCCTAGGCTGGTTTCAAACTTAGTATCCTATTGTGTTGGGATTATGCTACCATGCCCAGCTATATTTTTTACATTTTAAGGGATTGTTTAGGTTTGGGTTTTTTTTTTTTGAGAAAGTTTTTTCTGTGTAGCCCTAGATGTCCTGGAATTCACTCTATAGACCAGGCAGGCTGGCTTTGAATTTACAGATGTGTACCACCACTACCTGGGTTAAGGGATTGTTTTAATAAGACAGAATTAGTAGACTTACTTACTCAGACCTTATGCTGTACAAAGTCTACAACAGTTTCAATGTGCAGTCCTTTGCAGAAAACACTTGCTGATCCTTGATTGAATTCATTTTATCTTGACAGTATTTTACTAAGGTGGATGCTCTTATCCCTGTTTTGCAGATCAGAAAATAGACATATGGAAGAAATAAACAGTGTTCTCTTTGCACTCACCAGTGCATACTGTAAACCTTAAAAAAAAAACAAAAAAAACTCGCTAACTGGAATAGACGTGTAAAACAAACTTGTTTCTAATTTAAATAAATAAAAAACTTGTTAATATTTTTATCTCATTCCAGTGTAAAAAGTGGATCTGGTGGCTCATATGCTCAAGGATGACACGGTCAAGATCCAGATCCCCCAGGTGGAAACAAAGGTGAGGAGTTCCATGTTTTACACAGTTAACTTAGATTTGGAAATCACCATTCCTGCTCAAGCTTCCATTTTAGTAAGCTCTCTGGACCTGGCTGTTTACAATAGGCAATTGATCAGTATTTTTAGATTCAGGGGGCTGATGAATTTGTTTAATTGGGGCTGGCAGCTAGAACTAATTTATAATAAAAAGGAATGCAATGATCACAACTAGAATGAGAAATTACTTTTAGAGGGTTATATTTTTTTAAGCTAACAAGATTTTACAACTCTTCAGTGTATGTTTCAGTTAATTTTTCATAGTATGTTTCAAGAAATTTAGTCAGAAAATAAAAATGTTTCCTATCTTGGCAGAATAGTGGCTTTCAGTAGCTCCATTATAGTTCAACTCCTTTTTTTTCTGCTAGGTAGTATGGGTACTATAGTACACATAATTAGGTTGGAATAGTTCAACCAATTTATTATTGTACATCACCTACAACCAAGTTTTGGGACTGCAAATACAAGTATGCCATCCATCTTCCATGAACTCAGCAAGCACACAGATTGGCTGGGGAGAGGAACACAGTAGGCAATTCTGATACAGTGGGAAGTGCTATGCTTCTGACTTGGGCAAAGCATTTTGTATTTGCAGGGACAGAATAATTCTGCTTAGCAGCCAGTAAGTCAGACCATTATTATATACATTAAAGATGATCCATTATTTTTATATTAATATAGCTTGGCCATTGTGTTTGTTCCAATAATACAGTGAATCATCAGTCATTTACTTTAATTTTATAAATGCCACAAAATCATATTGTATTTGGGAGAAGTTTCAAAAAGAAAAGAGAATGTAAAGACAGAAATGACTATAATGTGGAAGATAGCACAAAGTTCATTTTATGTTATTCTTTTTTTATTTTAAATAGCTTGTTTTATATGTCAATCCCAGTTCCCTCTCCCTCCCCTCCTCCCGCATCCCCCCCCACCATCCCCCCCAGCCTCCCACCCTATTGCCAATTCCTTCCACATAGGGGATATCTGGAGTCTGTCATTTCACTCAGGGAAGGGTCCAGGCACTCCTCTAAGAGTCCAGGCTGAGAGAGCATCCCTCTTTGTGCTATGGGCACACGATATGTCTGTTTGAATTCCAGGGATAAACACTGATCCATTGCCCAGGGCCCCATAGTTATTCTTTTAATGAGGCTCTGGTAATGGGCACAGGGACTCTGCCAAGCTTAGTGTCTGATTTTATAATTCCTTCTCCAGGGTCTTTTGTTAAGAACTATAAAGGGTTTGACATTTTGGTCCTATTGGTAAGCCAACATACTAGTTTGCAGCAAGGCACTCCCATGTCAGAGACATTCTCTCTAAGTTCAAAGATAGATACACTGAGGGCCAGTGCTTCAGAGTGACTGGCTAGGTAAATGATGTAAAACAATCACAGGTTCTGGGGATATGACATGACTGAGGAACTTTGAGTCACTTGTAGTAAGTAATATCTTATTGTCATGGGCAGCAAACAAATAAACCCACTATCCCTATCTCTATTTCCAAGGCTGTTTCCTGGGGAACCAAAGTTGCCAGTGCCTCTATAGAGACTGGACGATTGTCTTCTAACAGACTCTTTGGGTATCTTTTGCCCCTTAGGAGAACTAGAAAAGTTAACCTTTATAACAACTTTTTCTTTTTTTGTTTGTTTCTTTTTGTTTTTTTTTTTTGAGACAGGATTTCTCTGTATTGTTTGGAACCTGTCCTGGAACTCACTCTGTAGACCAGGCTGACTTTGAACTCACAGAGCTGCCTCCTGAGTGCTGGGACAAAGGGTGTGCGCCACCAACACCCAGCCTATACCAATTTTATTCTAGAGGAAGTGAATATTATAAAATAAGACATAAAATACGATGTTAGAGTAGATTTAAATGTGAATTAAGGGCTAAAGTTAAATCTTGAATATTTCATCCAGTCTGGAAGATGTCTGCCTTTGACTGCCAGGTTCTCTCCTTAGCACTGAAAAGAGATGAAATCTCCCAGGAATTCCTCAGAGGCTCTAGTTGCTTCCCCTCCATCTGGATGACAGAGTTTCTGCTTCTAATAAGTAATATTTGCCAATATGTCTAGCTTGGTGACTCTGGAAGACTATTGGCAAATTCACTGTAAATGTCCTAATTGGTACTAAAGAAGATAGGTGTACTTCCTTTCTTGTGTAAAGACAGATTTTTCATTGAAATTTTCATTGAAAAATCTGTGATTGCCTCAGTTGTTTAGAAGCTTCTTAGAGCTGCTAAGTAAATTGCCAGGGCACACTTTTCTTACTGATTTGAAGACATTAAGCCCTAAAGAATGAGAAATTGTACCGGTCACATGGGGGAAAGTTCTCGGATGCAAAGGTGAGCTTTATCATTTTCTTACCTTGTTTTTTTTTCTTTGTTTTTTTGGCTTGCTTGTTTTTGAGACAGGGTCTTATTGACTGATGTAGTACTTAGTATATAAACTAGACTGGCTTCAAACTAAGAGATCTGCCTGCCTGTGCCTCCCAAGTATAGGGATTAAAGGTGTTAGACATCATGTACCTTCCTTATCATTAAGGCTGAGTAACCTACAGTGTTTTCCATGAATACAGGAGCCTTCTTAGTGGGAATACAAGTCCAGAGACTGGCAGCGTTAAGGTACCAGAAAAGATAGATACAGAGAAACCATGGCATGGTTCCATGGAGAGTATTATAGCTGCATTACAACACACTTTGACTAGAGTTGTAAGCTATTTGCATAACATGTCTTTCAGTTGATATGATTTGGAAAGAAAATCAGTTCATTAAGTGTAAGGTCAGCTTTGTCAACAGTGATAGTACCAGTCGGGCTAGCTTGGGTTATAGAGTGGGACTTGCTTTTTTCTTAAGAAACAAACAAACAAACAAACAAAAAAGAAAAACCTAATATATGGAAGAAAAGTAGAGACTGATGTCTTATGACTCTTTTCTCTTTCCTTCCCATGCTGCCTGATAAGCGTCTTACTTTGGTACGGCCTTGAGTGAGAGAATAGTCAGTTAGAAAAACTGGAAACATTTCTGGGTATGAGTTTTGATTGTAGGTAGCATCATTTTAAAATGAATTTCAGAGGTCATGCTCAGTTTCCTTAATACTCTTCAACATATTTTTCTCATTTTGCTTATGCTTGTTTCTCACTTGGCTGTTGAACCTGATGTGTTTACTGATTGGCCTTTTGGGGTCACTACATCTACTTTTGTTAGAACTTTGCTATCAGTAGTATCTGAAAAAAATTGTGCTGTATACCTGATCTGGTCCCCCTCCAGTATGACAGGTATGTTTAACCCAGTTGGATGTGCTTGTTGAATGCATTAGTTTGGATGAAGAGAATATGGTTGTCAGGTAGGACAAAAGAGTCATTAGACCTCCTCACTCAAATTTATAAATTCCTAGATTTACATTGAGTGGGTTAGTAGTGGAATTCTAGGAAAGGTCAATGTTTTAGGTAGGTCACACTAAAACAAACAGATAAATGTCTCAAAGTGAGCTAAACTTCTCTATGCTTGTTTCTATAGGTCATTATCACCACAATCTAGAAATTTTGAATACTACGAGGAAAGACATTTCCATGGGCATTATGACCCTGAATATAGAAATGATCCAAAAAGATCCTTTACTTGGAGAATGGATGATGAGAAACATGGACAGAATAAACCAAGGATTCCCCCTCGTGTGAATCCATATTATCGGTCTTATGAAAATAGATCACCTTCCCCAAATGGAAAGCCTGTAGAAAAATTTGATACATATATGCTTCACCAAGAATATTTCCCTGGAAGAGGGGATGATGACAGAAGATCTCAGTATATGCCCACATACTCAGAAAGTGCAACCTACACAGAGCATGAAAGGGATTGTTATCCCCCCCAAATGCAAGGAAGGTATATTCCTGATGAGCACAGAGGTAGAGGAAGTGGTAGAGGAGGGAAGCCGCCTGAGCTGTCACTGGAAGATTCCTTTAGATTTGAAGAGACATGGCATGAAGATGAATCAAGACACCAGAGGGTACAAGAAGAAAGCTACCCTCAGTCACCCAGAAGAGGCTCAGAAGACTTTGATGCCAGGAACCCTTTTCAGAAGAGGTACAAGAAATCACTAAACCTGGGGAGTTTCAAATAAGGCCTCAAGTAAAGAGTGTTACTTTTATGTTGACTATGATCACCTTTTTTGTCTCAAAAGATAAGAATATGTCTTTTGGGGGGGTTGGGGGCTGGAGAGATGGCTCAGAGGTTAAGAGCATTGACTTCTTCCAGAGGTCCTGGTTTCAATTCCCAGTAACCACATGGTGCCTCACAACCATCTATAATGAGATCTGATGCCCTCTTCTGGTATGCAGACAAACATGCAAACAGAACACTACATAATAAATGAATAAATAAAATTTTAAAAATATATTTCTTTTTTAGATAATTTATATTGATAGCTAGATTGAGTTTTTCTTTTCGTTTCTTTTCTTTTTGGTTTTTTGAAACATTTGTTCTGTGTAGCCCTGGCTGTCCTAGAACTCTCTGTAGACTAGGTTAGTCTTGAACTCAAGAGATATCCCTTTACTTCCAAGGTGCTGGGATTAAAGTTTTTTGTTTTGTTTTGGTTTGGTTTTGGTTTTTACGAGACAGGGTTTCTCTGTATTGTTTCGGAGGCTATCGGTCCAGCCTGGCCTCGAACTCACAAAGATCCGCCTGCCTCTGCCTCCCGAGTGCTGGGATTAAAGGCGTGCGCCACCACCGCCCGGCGAGAATGCTTTCAAAAGATGTTACTCTTAGCTGGCTGGTGATGGTGCATATCTTTAATAACTGTATGGGTTGGCATGAGGTCTTATGGGTTGTCTTGCCATTGCATGCTGCATTTTAAGGTCAGAGTACTCAATATTTCTATACATTGAAATTTTTACTTTTGCATATTGCAAATGTAAACTTCTCTGTGTCAACACAGGTATCCTGAGGATCATGATTTCAGGAAGTATGGCTACACATCAAAAAGACCTACAGATGCCTCAAGATATGAAAATAGAGAGCCAGCCAGAATCCCAAAGTGGAAGCCTGAGCATTCTTTTGTACCTTTCCAAGAGAAGAATGAAGAGTGGAGTTTTGGATCACAAAGCCACAGATACACTGAGAGAGAATACCCAGAGATAAGTTCAGCAACCAAAGTATCTTATGACTACCGTCACAAACATCATAAGCTCTCAGACAGTGAGCAGGACTTTGCCGATGGGAGGTTTCAGAAGTACTTGAAGGAAGAAGACAGAAAATATAGTTCTCTAAAAGTTACTGGAAATAGAGAGTCAGATTGTTTCAGTGGTACAAGAGGAAGAGAGAATGAGAATGAGCAGGCCAATGGGCCTTTTCAACTCTACAAGAAAGACTGTATTTCCTATACTAATACAAATGTAAAGGAAGTTGATTTGGGTCCTTGCAACGACAAATGGAAGAAAAAACTAAATAAAGAAGATTGCAGAAAAGAGAGTGCCTCTTCTAGTAAACAATTTGGTGCAAGCCCAAAACCTGAAGAGAAACGCTATTCGTTTGTCAAGAAGAAATCACTTACTGTTAAAGTAGATGTGAACAAGATACACACATTTAGGTATTAACTTTTTAAAAGTGTTCATTAATACATTTTTTCCACCTTAATTTGCAGTTTGCAAGATGGGATTTGTACTGTTGGTTAGAGTAAATTGAGTGTTCAAGATTTTTCCTCCAAGGTCCTATAATGAAGATAAATTCTGCAGTTAATAAAATTCTGCAGTTAGTAATAGGTGGTGATCTTGTGTCTTCTGGTTCCCATATCTTATCTCCAGATAATTCTTGGGCTTAGGACATTTCAAGGACTTGTTTCTCTTTATGAAATTAGGTGTTTTTGTTTTTTGTTGTTGTTGTTTTTTCCGAGACAGGGTTTCTCTGTATTGTTTTGGAGGCTGTCCTGGAACTCACTCTGTAGACCAGGCTGGCCTTGAATCACAAGAGATCTGCCTGCCTCTGCCTTCCTAGTGCTGGGATTAAAGCCATGCGTCCACCAATGCCCGGCTGAAGTTAGGTGTTTTTATACTGCCAGGTTTCTTTTAAATTCAGGGATAGACTGATTATTGTTTTTGTTTGTTTGTTTTGAGACCAGGGCTCAAGATGTATCCCTGTCTGTCCCAGAACACTCTTTGTAGACCAGGCTGACCTCAAACTTGCAGAGATCAGTCCTTCTCTGCCTCCCAAGTCCTGGGATTAAAGGAGTGTGTCACCACACCAGGCCAGCATCTATTTATGCAGCTTCTCAAGCTGTTCCTTATTGCTTTTGACATTCATAAAATATTGTAGCAGGAAGGGATCTTAGCAGGTTCTTATTTTATAAAGTGTAAAAGTTAGGATTTGAAAGGTGGAAAAACCTTAAATCCTTGTCTTTTTTGGGATCCCAGGAGGCAGATATTTGATGTGATTCCTACTGTGGTTTCAATATGACAGAATGTAACTGACTAGATTGTTCTCTAAGATAGAGGGAATGAGGCTATAATTATTGTGCTTGTGTGTATGTGTATGCATGATGTGTGTATGTGTATGCATGCTGGCACACATGTGCCTTGGCAGGTGTGGACATGGCAGGCAGCAGACAATTTTGGGGAGTTGTTTCTCTCCTTACACCATGAGTTCTAGGGACCAAACTCAGGTCATCAGGCTTATATACCAGGTTCTTTGACCTCCTGAGCCATCTTGCTGTCCCACAGTTAATTTCTTAGTAGATTTAGTATCAAAATACTATTCTAAGCTTCTTATTACTTATAGTGAGAGAATTTTTTGTTTGTTTGTTTTTCAAGACAGAGTTTCTCTGTATTGTTTTGGACTGTCCTGGAATTCATTCTGTAGACCAGGCTGGTCTCGAACTCACAGAGATCCGCCTGCCTCTGCCTCCTGAGTGCTGGGATTAAAGGCGTGTGTCACTAACACCTGGCCTAGTGAGAGAATTTTTATAAAAGACAAGTTTTTAGATTTCATAACAGCTTGTAAAGTGTGGAAAGTATGATAGTGGTCAAACTGACTGATTACAATGTTTTGAAAATATTGAAGTAGAAAAAGTCTGATTATTTCTTGTATATTAGGTAACTTTAGTGCCATGTGTTTGAAGGAAAACTTCACTTACAATTGTGATTTGAAAAGAGCTCAGGACCATTTATCTATATACTTATCTTCTACTTGTGGTTTATTAGTTTCATAGACAGAGTAAATAAATACATTTTTAATGTTTAGTTATCTTAATTTTAACAAATTCCATTCTTAGCTAAAAGTTTCAAATTTAATTGAATATCTCAAATTATTTTAGGTCTACTTCTAGATATTCTGCAGAGAGACAGGTATCACATGATTTGGTTGCTGTTGGCAGAAAAAACGACAATTTCCATCCAGTATTTCAACATCTTGACTCACCTCAGAATCCTGAAAACAAACCTACAGAAGAATTTGCTCAGGAAATCATAACATTAATCCATGAAGTTAAAGGTTGGTATAGTTTACCCAAATATTATATATAGCACAAAAATAATGTACCAACTTTACACAAGATACAATTACCTTTAATGTAGTTTAACTGTAATTAATATTCCATTTTAAGTAGGTCATAAGTTAGTAAATCTGTTGGAAAGAGTACCAGACATTCATTCAAGCCTAGTTGCTCTTTTAATGTATTTTCAATAACTTTCTGCTTCAAATGCTAGTGAATTACAAATCATTAGTTCAAAAAGATCGGCTTGCTCCAAATAATAGGCATATTGAGAGCCTATCAGAGGAGGAGGAAACAACAAAAACAGGTATAAATCCCAGATAATCCATAAGTTAGGTTTGTTTATATTATCAACCGTGCCCTAGGGACTTCCTAGGACTTTGTTGCTGTGTTATCAGGTGGAAGATTTTGTTCTCTGTGACATCCAAGAGTTCATTATGCTTTAAAGATTTGCATTAAAGTTTTGCTTTTGATAAATTTCCACTAATTGGAAAAGCAGTGATGTGAAACAACTTTTCCCTAGTAGTCATACATAAATTCTAGATGTGCTAAACAAGATTTTCAAGAATGTCAAAATTTTATTTACTTTAATTTTTACCTTCATGAAACATTTTCTTCCAAATAATTATTAGAGCTGAAGAGACAGCTCAGCAGTTAAGAGTACTAGCTACTCTTGAAGAGGCCTCAGGTTCCTAGCACCCACGTGGCTGCTTACAGACTTCTGTAACTCCAGTCACATAGGCATAATACATACATGTAGGCAAAACATTCAATGCACATACATAATACCTTTTTTAAAAAAATGAATTATTTTATCGGCTATCCCTTAAGTGAAGTGTGTATTTTGTTGAACAAGGTAGTTTGGGGCTGAGGGGTTAGCTCAGTATTAAAGCAGTTTTCTGAGACTGAACAAGGCCCTGAGTTTGATCCCACCAAACTTGAGAAAATATGAATAAAAAATAAAGTATACAGTTTGTCAGGAACAGTTCACCTTCTCAGCTCCAACCCTTTTTACCCAAGGAAAATACAGTTTTCAGAAAGTATAGTAGTATTTTACAGAAAAACAGAGTGTCTCAGAACAGGACTAGTGAATTAGGAGAGAAGATTACTTGTATAGCATTGGGACCAATTAAGTGTATTCTTTCTGTACTAATAAGAGCTTGCAATATAGCTAATTTTAGAAAGTCCAAGTTAATATAAAAGTGAAGTGGTGCTGGAAGGTACTCTATGGTTTTAAACAGAACATTAAGCATTTGTTCAGAGATTATTTTGATTGAATTGTTGGTTGATATAATTTTCATTGTTGAACTGTAGAGTATCTTTCTTAACATCCTGGATAGAGTATGGTATTACAATGGAGAAGAATGATCCTTACTTTGACAGTGTCATTATTCTAGACAAGAAAGCAAACATGGCAGATAGGAAGAAAATCCTTCAGTTCATAAGTCGAGTTTTTAAAGACTCTTGTTTGGGTTTAGAAAAGCATGTGAGCATTACAAGTTAATATGCAAATGAAGTTTGGGTCCTGTTTCTTCTCAAAGGAAAACAATTAGGATTTATTTAAATGGCCCCTTCTTGATCTTGAGCTTTATATAATCTTTTTAATGGCAGTTTCACACTGACATGGAATTGTTTCCTTTTCCAGCAAGTCGTTTTGCAACATCTGATGTTACTTTACATGAGCGTTTCTCAAGAATACAAAACAGACATGATCCTGATTTTGATCAGATGGCATTGAGTTCAGATCCAGAATTTCACAGGTAATGATTAATTATTCTTTCCATTTACCTCATGGCAATAAATCTCAGAATAGATTGGGAAAGGTCCAGCTTTTTAAGCTTGCTTCCCAGGGCTTTGTATAGGCTCCAGGGCTACACTTGGTGCATAAAAAAAGACTAAGCAGTTACTGTACCAGTACACATTGATGAGGTAGGTTGCATTAATGTCATCGACTAGCACTGGATGTGTGGAACTTTGAAAATATCTGCCTACCTTTGATTCTTCAGTTGCCTACTGAAGTTAATGCTAGAAGATGTCAAGCCATTGAAATCAGGTTACCTTAAGTGTCACAAATGATTATTTTGAGATCTGAGGATGAATGAATGTTTTCTGCTAGCACTTGTCTGAGCATATCATGTACCCTGTTAGGAGTGCTAAGTTGAATCAATGTTTTAATGTTGTGTATCACCAAAATACAGTTTGAGGTCATAGTTACTACTGTTTAGAGGATGACCAAGATTTTGCTATAATGTGTTCCATAGGATATATATTGCCTAGGAGATTGCCATATAGGTGAAAACCTAAGAAGACATGGTGGTGTATGACTTTAATTCCAACATTTGGGAAACAGAGGCAGGCAAGTGTCAGAGTTTAAGGCAGTGAGTTTCCAAACAGCCAGGGCTACATGAGAAAGACCCAAGAGACTGGAGAGATGGCTCAGTGGTTAAGATCACTGGCTGCTTTTCCAGAGGTCCTGAGTTCTATTCCCAGAAACGACATGGTGGATCATTGGTGGCTCACAACCATCTGTAATGAGATCTGGCGCCCTCTTCTGACAAGTAGACATACATGCCGGCAGACACTATACATAATAGATAAATAAATCTTTAAGGAAAAAAAAAGAGTAAAAAGACCCGCCTTCAAAGAATAAATGAAAGAAAGAGAGAGAGAGAGAGAGAGAGAGAGAGAGAGAGAGAGAGAGAGAGAGAGAGAGAGAGAGAGAGTAAACCTACCTGACAGCAGGTTTCTTCTGCTTTCTTCAAGACATATTGGTTTTATTCTAAGTTTAATTCAATAGTAAAACAGTAAAGGTATCATGCATAAAATATTAGCATAATTATTTAATTATGCCTTTATTATTTTAGAAGAATAGATATGTCTTTGGCCGATCTTCAGAATAAACAGACTATGGTATATGAACCAGATAAGGTAAGTGAATATAATTATTATTGGTATAGTAGTGGGAAAAGGGTTTGTTATTGGGGTTCAGAAAAGAATTAAAGGTGTATGAAGAAAAATCGGAATTTGAAATTGAAAACGTTCTCCAAGTGACTGACTGCAGTCCAGGATGGAGTAATAATACTGAAAAAATACAAAATTTTTCTTTGAGATTATTAAGGATAACAACTTTGAAAAGTTGATTTAAAAATTATATTTAATACTCATCCTTAGACTCCTCAGTGTGAAGCTTATAGAAAATATGATCGCTAGCTTTTTTTCCACATCTGGCACATGGCATTTGGTGCTGCCTTTTTATTTGCTGTAGAATTTAAGAACGATTCTATGGAATATAAACTAGTAAAATAATGAAAATAATACTGTATGTCTTCATTATCATGTAGGTGGCTCCTACCTAGTAACCTCCCTTCCACACCTTTTGCTACTTTAATAATTAGAAAGACTGTCATGACTAGCCAGGTTGGGAGACAAATCTTTAAAAGCGTGTCAAATTCTAAATGAATTGTTAATTATTCCTTTGAGAATGTTTCTGTAGTGAAGATATTTTAATGTATTTTTGACAGACTATAAGTAATTTTTCACTTAAAAAGTTTTTGTTAATATAGATAACTTAGTTTAGTGAATGATACTTTGAGAAAATTTCTAATTCTTTGTAGTCCACTTATAGGAAATTTGAAGACTTAAAAATCCATAATTCCTATAGTATAATATGACACGTTTTTAATAGTCTATCAAATTCAATTCAATATGCTTTTTCATAATCCATAATATCTCTTTTTTTCATTTTTTTATTTAAATTAGAAACAAGCTTGCTTCTCATGTCAATCCCAGCTCCCTCTCCCTCCCTCCCTTCCTCCTCCCCTGCCCCCCACCAGGCTCCTCAGCCCCCCACCCAGTCCCCACTCAGATCCCCAGGAAGGGTGAGGCCCTCCATGGAGAATCTCCAGAGTCTGTCATTTCATTCAGGGCAGAGCCTAGGCCCACCCCCAAGAGTCCAGGCTGAGAGACCATCCCATATTGTGGCATGGGCACTCAAAGTCCATTTGTACGCCAGGGATAAATACTACCCAAAGCTCCATAGGTTGCCTAGGCATCTTCATAATATCTCTTTTATGTAAAAGTTCTAAATTCCCCCCTGTGGCCTTTTACAATTGGGGTTTTTAAGTTTCAAATTTTTTCAGTAAATGTTTTTCCATATTGACTTCCATGCATTATTTTAATGACTACATAGTTTTGTTTGATTTATTTCCATAACTTACTACATCATTCTTTTCTTCCCTTTAAATTATTTTTACATTTAGGTTGTTTCCTTTTTGTTATTAAATATTTTTAAAGAAGCAATCTTTTCTTTGAGATAGAATCCCAGAAGTAGGATTCCTGGTTCAATATTAAGAACTTTTCTGATTAATGTCAATTGTGTCTCAAAATATTTGTATCAGTTTATACTAACATTAGCAGGATGAGTATAAAATAATTAAGCACTTTTAATTAACACTTGTTAAAAATGGTCTTTGTGCAACTAACGGTAATACAAACGGTTTGTCTTCTGTCAAAATTCCTCAGACTCTGGTCAAAGTAATAGATCCAAATGACCTACGACATGACATTGAAAGGAGGAGAAAAGAGAGGTTACAGAATGAAGATGAGAACATTTTTCATATGGCTAGTCCTACAGAGAGGTAATCAGTAAATGAAAAATATCCTGCTCTCAGGGAGCTTTTGGTTTCAGCAGTTTTGATATTTTTGTGTGATTAATTTTAGTCTAGGGATTTGAGTCTTCAGATCCACTTTGTTTATTAAAATATTTCAGTTTTTCATTGGTTATCACATGAAGTTTGATTTAAACATCAAAAACAATGGAGTGGGTGAATAGGTCTTCCTAATTCTAGAGAAGAGAATATAATAGCTGTTGAAGTTTTGGCAGGAGCCAGGACCAGCAACTTTATAGACTGTTGAGCTCAAGCAGATTGAAACAGAAGTAGGTTTGGATGCTTAGATTCTAACTTAGTTTGAATGACTTCAAAATTTTGAGGTCAGTACAGTTCTTTTGGGGAACTCTTCTTCGGTCTATGAAGTAGGCAAGTATAGTAGAACAGGGGGAAGAAGTGAGGAGTGGTGGTGAATATTTTAATCCCAGCATTCCAGAGGAAGAGGCGATCCATAATGAGATCCTGTCTCAAAAACAAAACAAGACAAAATAAAAGAAAGAAAAGAAACAGCAGAGGGAGACCTCAATTTGAATCTCATTGACTCTGCTCATTTATAAACTGTCAACAAATTTTATGAATCTTTAGGAATCTCTCCATACGGTGATGATAAGACCAGCTTATGCAGGGGCAACTCTACTGTTAAGTCACTGGCATCTTAGAAGTTACACCACATACAGCAAAGAGAGAGATCATTATTATATCACATTTTTGTATTCTACCTTCCGCCTCTTTGCAAGGGTCTTTAGTCGTTAAATTGGCCCCAGTCTACTCTAGTTCTCAGAACTAGTGGAACCTATGGCAACTATGTGACCCCCATATGATTATGTGGAATAATTGAATGAGATAATTTCTAGCTTGGGCAAGAGTCCATTTAAATCCCTCAGAAGTAGGGATATGAATAGGAAGAGATGGTGCTAATTGTTTTTCCATAATCTTTAATATCAACTCTTAAACATTTAAACATTTAAACATTTGACTAGATGTTTAAATAAATTCCAAACCTAACTAGCCTTAATCAAAATACATGGAGCTTGTTTTATCTGGACTTGATTTTGATAGTAAGTTTGGGACTGATTAAAAGATAGTGAAACTATGTGTTCTGGCATGTAACACAATTGGAATATGTAAAAATCTTGTCCTTTGCTGAGCATAAGTCACCAGTTTCCTAATATGATATGCTTAACACATGGTATTACCATGTTTCTAGTGACAAGTTATCTATTGTGTTTTTCTTGGCTGAGAAAGCTTTGGAAACACAATGTACCAAGAAATAGGATTTATTAAACATTTACAATGATAACTATATCATAAATTCTCCAGGGCATATCTTTACCCTTTGAGACGATTAGAGCTTGAATGCTGGCATTCTACTTGGGTTTAATGCCCAGCTCTAAGAATCCTAGCTTTGTGAATGACTTGGAGTAGGTTACTTAGCCTGTTTCCTCATCTGTGAAATAGAAATGAGAACTATGCTTACCTCAAATGGTGATCAGGACTAAGTAAAATGTAGCTGGTTAGCATTAAGCTTGTTAATGTTAGCTTTGAGGGCAGTGTTGTAGCATGAAACATAAGAATTTGAAAAAAATTTCAGTATTCTATGCCATAAAATTCACACTGTGTAAGTAAGCAATTGAGTTGTTTTTACTATATTCACAGAGTTGTGTAAGAACCACTTAGCTCAAAATATTTTGTCACTCCAGAAGAAAGCAGTGTACCCAACTATGGACCCACCCCTCATTTTTTTTCTTTTTCCCTTCCCTGGCAGCCACTGTTATACATTGTATGGATTGCCTATTCTCAACAGTTCATATAAGTGCAGTAATATAATGCTTGACTTTTTGTGACTTCTTATTTTATGTAGCATATATTAAAACTTTATCCATGCTATAGCACAAAGATTTCTTTTATGGTTAAATATTGTTTCATTGTATGGTTGTGTCATATGTTGTTTATCCATTTATCAGTTGATGAACTTTTGATTTGTTTCCACTTTTTGGTTATTGTGAATAAATAGTGTTGTGAACATTTTGTGTGCAAGTTTTTGTGTGGTCATGTCTTCATTTTTATTAAGTGTATATCTACATGTAGAATTGAGTTAGATGATTATTGCCAAACTGTTTTCCAAAATAGACTACATCATTTTACATTCTACCAGCAATGTGTGAGAAGTTCACGTTGTCCATGTCTTTACCAACATCTGTGGGGTTCTTTTTTTTTTCTTTTTAAAATGATACCAAATCTGGGGAGATTGCTCAGTAGGTAAAGGTGTCTGCTATCAAGCCTAACAACTTGAGTTCAATTTCTGGAACCCATGTGGAAGAAGAGAGCTGAATCCCACATGGAGTTCTCTGACCTGCACGTGTACATCATAGCAAGGGCATGCACAGACTTACACATGAATATATACACTTATACACCTATACAAACACACTCTAAATAAACATGATTTCCTTATTAAAGTAAAATTTACCTTTTTATCTTTGAAATGAAGTTTGCCAAATGATGTTGCCAAAGTTTGGTCTCAGTTTTACTTAAGTAAATTTCAATGTGTAGTTTCTAGAGAAATTCAGATAAAGCATGTCATAAATTAGATTTAGTGATTTCCTCCTGTGGGATTTCCATTAAAATATAAGTTTTTATGAAGGCTCTCTGTGTTTGTTCACCACTGTATCTATCCCATTGCCTTGAGCTCAGTCCATATTTGTTGAAGGCGTATAAAGACTTTAAAAAGCAGTAGATGGGACAAATGATACTTTAGCTGTAAGGCTTTTCTAGCTGGATTACTATTCCTTAATGTCTTGGGATTCTTTGCTGGCAAGCTTAATTCTTTGGCATTCCATACCTTGTATAAGAAGACCCTGCTGCTCTCTATTGGTTCAATATGACAATATCTTACCTTGATGTCTCCTAAGTTTTCTGACACATGATTTCTTCTTTTAGCCAGAGTTACTAAGTCCTCCATAATGTAATTGAGATGTGTTATATAAGTATGGGCTGTGTGGAAATAAGAAGCTTAAAAATTGTATCAGTGAACTTCAAAAGGACATGAAACTACCAAAACTTTATTTTTCACTAGGGGAAAAGATGGTTTATACTAAACAAGGGTAAAGTTCACAGAGGTCTTTTTATATGCTGGAAATGTATAATTTCCTTGTAAAGTGACATTTCTATGTGTTGGGGATACAATGAAAACTACACAAAGCTCTTGACTTCTTGGCACTTGGAACTTAATGGTAGGAGACAGAAAATGTCAGTAGAATGGTATGCTAAAAACTAAGGTAGAAGTGGAAATTCAGCAGGAAGAGTGACTTGTGTGATAACAGTTTTACAATTTTAGTGGGCATATGAATTGATTGAAGGACTCAACCGGCTACATCATACCTGAGAGTTTAGTACTTCAAAACAGGGAGCCGAGTGCAAAGATGTTAAGGCAAAACCATGTTTCTTCTTAAGGTTAAGGACTGGAATTATGTCTAGTGGGGTTGCAGTATGGTAGAAAGAGGGAGACTGGGGAGATGGCCCAGTGGGCAAAGCACTTGCTGAACAAGCCTGACCTCTATTTAGGGCCCCACAATAATCCTGTTGTCCTACTTGGGAGATGGGAGGCAGAGACAAGATAACAACTGGAGGCTTGTGGATTAGTCTGAAAGAGCAGCAGTGATCAAACAAGAGACCCAGTCTCCAACAAGGTGGAAGGTGAATAACACCCTAGGTCATCATTTGACTTCCATATACACCCTGTAGCACATGTATGCCTGCATCTACATAAACTCAGAGATATACAATGCATACAAAAAGTTAAAAGTTAGTAGATGAGGCCAAATCATGAAGGACTTGGAAGGATAAGAAGACCATTTTACAGTAAGTGAAATTAGGAACATTGGAGGATCTAACTAAAGAAAGGACATAATCTCTAAATTTAAAAAGGATTACTATGGCTGCAGGATAGAAAATGGACTGAAAGAATTATAGAAAAAAATCACTTCATTTTATAGCTTATTTTACTTTAATAATGCTTTTAAGTTTCAACCACATTGTGTCAAATGTCAATGTTTCATTCCTTACAAACTTCATTTTAAGGCTGGAATAGTCTTTGGGTATACCATATTATATTTAGCTGATTGTTTGTTATGGGTATTTGTGCGTTTTTCACCTTTTGCCTTTTATAAGTAGTCCTGTTAGGAAATTCAAGTATGCCATTTTTTATTGTAGGCTTTCTAATCTAGTGAGTGTAAGATCACATCTCATTGTGGTTTTGATTTGCATTTTTCTAATGACTAATGATGAATATTTTTTTCATATGCTTTTTGGCTATTTATATGTCTTATGTGGAGAAATTTTTAGCCAAATCCTTTGCCCATTTTATAATCAAATTAATGTCTTTATTGCTGAGGTATTAGTTAGGAGGGTTGTTTTTGTTTTGAGACAGGGTCTCACAATACAGCTCTGGCTGACCTAGAATTCACTATGTAACTCATGCAGGCCTCAGATTCATAGATCTATCTACTCCCCCTCTTAAGTGCTGGTATTAAAGGCATGAGGTACCACACCTGGATAAAAGAATTCTTTACTGTTCTCCAGGCAAGTGAAATGGTTCAGTAGATAAAGGTACCTATAATAAACTTGACAACCTGAGAAGTATGTATTTTCCCCTGACCTCCACATGTGTGTTTTGGCTCATACACAATAATAAACTATAGTAACATGTCAAGAGTTCTTTATGTATTCTAGATACTACCATTTGGGTGTTACTTACTGGAAATGCTTAAGACAAGAAATGGTTCAAATTTTAGATTATTTGGAATACCTGCATATATAATAAGCTATTGTGGGTAGGTGGTCCCATAACTAAACATGAAATTCATTTATGTTCTTTCATTCATAAACAGAAGGAAAATTTATACAGTATTTTAATGTACCTGTGTTTTGATTGTGATTCATTTTACATAGTCAGGTATAGAGTTTTTCATGTTGGTGCTCAGAAGGCTTCAGATTTTGCAGTACTTCAGGGTTTTTTTTTGAGACAGGGTTTCTCTGTATTGTTTTGGAGGCTGTTCTGTAGACCAGGCTGGCCTCGAACTCACAGAGATCCACCTGCCTCTGCCTCCCGAGTGCTGGGATTAAAGGCATGCACCACCAACGCCCGGCTAGCACTTCAGATTTTTGTATTAGGGATGTTTAACCTGTATTCCTTTATTGACTATGTTTTGTAAAGAGGATTTTAAAAATACCAGGCATTTGTAACTTTGTCAAATAGAAATGAGTAGTTTAATATTTAGTTTTTACACTTATCTTTTTTATAAGCATATATGTGTGCTTTTTAAGTTCTGAAATTATCCTCAATGTATAGTTTTGTGGTTACACACTGCTATTTTGGCTTAGGATAACATCACAGACATTTTATCAGAACAGCAGTTTTCTGAACATTCCATGGACCCTGAAGTCATATTTTGTGTCAGGTTTGAGGGTTAACGATGGAACTACAAATAAACTATTCACAGTGGTATTGAAAGCTTATTCCATTAAACACACAGGTATAAGCAGTACCTACAGATAGGAGAGACAGGTGTTAGAACATCTAAATGCTATATGTGTCACAGTAGGGTTATCTATTCTACTTCAGAGGAGTTTAGGAAAATTTTTGGACAAGGGACCCATGGAGCTGAACTTTGAAGTTAATCGTTAATCTAAATGGAAGGAAATGATCACAGAAGGAATTGCAGGTACAAAGTTGTGGAAGCAGGAAAGATCATGGTATGTGCTGGGAACTATATATACACAATTATTTAAAGTTCAATATATGTGTTGGGGAGATTGGAGGAAAGCAGGTAGGAAGAGCATAAAGAGCCAGGGCAAAATCATGAGGACTATGAATTTTTATCCCATACAAAGTTCATAGGAGGGACTAAAGCAGGGCAGTTGGCTCCCTAGGGAAGTGGGCTTGCAAAAGGCATAGGAAAAGTCTTAAGAGTGTTGTGAGGAGATGCGGGATATGACAAGGAAAGGACTTGCCAAGAGCTGTTGAAATGAGGCTTCCAGGATCTTAACAAGCAGACCTGAGACAGCCCATTGTGACTTTAAGATCTCACATTGTCAGTAGCTGTGGGCCTGTCCTTTGCAGTATGAGAGCCCACTGCTTTGTCAGTGAGGTGACTATGTTCTAGTCTCCTACCTTACATCTGATAAAAGTGTTGGGTCATAAGTCATTGATACTTCTGCCAAGAATCTCAGGAATTTGGGGGTGGAGGCTGGGAAGGCAGTGATGCTTTTTCCTGAGAGGGGAAAAAACTTCCAAAAATCAACTACAGCCTCCAGGAATGTCATCCTTAGACATTAGATTGAAACCCCTAGTGCAGGGGATGCTGTTTTTCCTCTGTTGCTAGCTTCCAGATTAATTAAATAATGTTTGTTTAAACATCAGTCTTAATGACTATCATTTATAATTTTAGTAGTGACAGAACATTGACATTTTATTGTTGTTTCTCAAGTTTTTTGTCTCTTTAACTGATTAAAGTAACAAGATTCTTTTCTTTCCCTTTATTAGGAATCATCAGTGTCCCAGTTTTTCAAAGGTGAAGACTATTCGTGCTGATGGATTTCAAAAGCCTCCACATTTTATTAAATCAAATTTTAGAAAATTTATTCAGAAACCTTACATAGTAAGATTGGAGTTTCAAATTTTTCATTTTTGTACATTATAAATATATCTATACTTTTCAGAGTGCTTGTAACTTCATTATGTGTTATAATAGTGCTGAGGCTTAAAAGATTTTATGACAGAAGAAAGCTCATCTCTTACTTGATTTAGTAGAAATTTCATTTATTATAATACCAACTTTCTTAAGATGTTTATTCATTTCAGGTGTATAATTTGGTGACTTTTAGTAATTCTTCAGAATGTGTTGTAATCATCACCATAGTCCAGTTGTTGGACTTAAGACAGGATTTCACTTTGTTGCTCAGGCTAAGCAGTGGAACTCACTATACACCCAACGATAGCCTGATTTGCAACCCTCCTGCCTTCACTTCCTAAGTGCTGGGATTATAGGCATATACCACCATGCCTGATTAGGATATTGTTATTACCCAGTAAGAGCTCTCATGCCGGTTTAATTATTCTATGTTTCCTCCCCCACAAATCCACTAATCTGTTTTAAAGATTTCCTTATAGAATAGATCATGGAATTCTGTGAGGACTAAATGATGCAAGGCAGTTAGTTTGTAACTTAATTTTAGAAGTAATATCCCATTACTTTACCATATGGTTATTACAAGAAGCAAGCTACTAGATCATACCCACAAAGAAAAGGATCACTGATGGAGATAATTAGGAGCCATGTCAGCAGCTGCCTAGTACAATCCTCCCTCTGGCCAGACTCCAAGAAATGGATTAATAGAAGGTAATAAGACTATTGATTTTAGAAATAGGAAACTGGAGAATGGATACCGTCTTAATTGTTTCTGCTAAAGGATTCGGGTTCTCTGTAGTTAGATTACTATTGTAGTTCTTTCTCTTATTTCTGGGCCTTCCCAAACTATTGCAAGAATAGCACCTTCAGCCAATTAAAGTCTGTGTTAGGCTAACTTGCCTACTGGCAGTACGGGGAGTTTGTGTTTTTCTTGGATAGTAGACAACCTTTACCAAGTCCTGCTGGCAATGATTTTTTTTCTTTTCAAGATGCATATTTGAGTAAATGGTAGATTAATAGTCCACTTCTAAACATTAACCATTGTGTTATACAGAGTGTTTTTTTTTTCACACTTCTCACAGGCATGAATGAAACTGGCCCCTCACAAAGTAGCATGGGTCATATGAGAGAAGAAGTATGTAAGCTCCATGCTCCCTGATTTGGGGTCTTGTCTTCAAACATATGTCTTAATTGGTGAGATTAGTTTTTAAAGTAACCCTTAAGGTATATTAACCCATGTTAATACTTTTTGTTCAGAACTATACTATGCAGAGAAAAGATGCCATTACTCAGAAGAGATTTAGAGTTGAGGAAAATCATCAAAACAGAAGAGGCTCTAAAAGATCTTTCAAGGTATTGAGTGTTGCCTTTCATTTATGTCTGACTATGGAATTATATATTGCAAGTAATGTTGCATTAGTAAATTAAAAGCTATTTTGGCATTCTTTTAAACAATAACCATAAACTACTGTTTTGGTTTCTGTGAATATTTCTAGAATTTATACTTAATAGTTACCAGTCTAATAATGATGTTTAATCAGGATTTGACTTTGAATTTCAATTTTACTAGTGGAACCCTTTTTTTCAAATATTAACGTAGCTGTTTCTAGAAATTACCAAGGATTTAAGACTTAGTAGGGCAGTGTAGATTCCATGTATAAGCATGTGGGCTGGGTCACTTCTCAAAGTGTTAGTTGCATGGAAATGCAGCAAGGAGTATATGGGAGGAGTGAGAGAGGGAGATTTGTAGAATATTTGGAAGGTTTGCATAAGATTGGTTTATGTCTGACAAAACGAAAGATTCCTCCTTGTCACCTCCAGCACAAAATGACAAGATCGAAAACACAAATATTTATAGTCTTCTACATCTATCCTACTGGACAATATATAGGACAGAATTTAGTTTTCATCATTCGTACTATTAATATTTTTATAGTAAAGAAAAATGAAGGTACTTGCAAAAATAGATGTTAGGTTATTTAAATGTCTTGAGTGTATGCTCATGTATGTGCAGGTAAGCATGGAGGCCAGATGAGAGTGTTAGATACGCTGGAACTGGAATTGCAGTCGGCTGTGGGCTACCCAATGTGGGTGCTGGGAACTGACCTTGGGTCCTCTGGAAGAGTGGCAAGTCCCATCTTTTCAGTCGCAGAAATAAAATTTCAAAGTTTTGATTCATAGGTATTTTTACTTAGTATCTCTTTTTTTGGGGGGGAGGTTCAAGATAGGGTTTCTTTGTGGCTTTGGAGGCTGTCCTGGAACTAGCTCTTGTAGACCAGGCTGGTTTGGAACTCACAGAGATCTATCTGCCTCTGCCTCCCGAGTGCTGGGATTAAAGACATGCACCACTACCGCCTGGCTTTTACTTAGTATTTTTCCCCCTCACTTGTACTTGACATAGTCCCTATAAATCAGAAAAATAAATTTAGCTAATTAGAACTTACAAAGATTATATTTTTCAGTATTATGAATGCCAAGAATTCATTTCAAGTTCTTTTATCTTTTCCTTTCATGTGTATATGTGTTTGTGCTTGCTGATGCATGTGTACATGCATTTGGAGACCAGAGGTAGATGTTGGATGATATCCTTAGTTGTTTTCCACCTTATTTTTCTTTTATTGATACATTTTCTTGTTTGACACCTTTTATGTATATATAGTACATTCTGGTTACTTTTGCCCAACTCCGTCTTCTTTTTCTCCCATCTGTCTGTCTCCTGCTTTCTTATAAATGTATTTGCTATATTCATGATGTTTTTGTCTTGTGTCCCACAGAGTTTAGGGTTGTATTATGACCTTGGGTTTGAAACTATCCATTAGACCCTGTTGGGTTCATGGGTGGCAACATAACTGGATATTCTGCCTCCCCTTTTCCCAGAATCTATTAGTTTCAGTAGTGTGTGTTACTTTTCTATAGTGTGTGATAGGGCGTCTTTCCCAGTTGTAGCTATTAGATGTGCTAGTTTATTATTGCCTCAGTTGTATGATGCTTAGAAAATGGGATTCCCCAGCCCTTCTCGTTATCTTACAGCTCTTAGATTCTTTCTCTCCCACCCATTTCCATAATGTTCCCTAAGTCTTAAGTGGGTTGTACAAAAAGTCTTGATTAGGGTTGAGCCCTCAACCATCCCTTGTTCACAATATCTTGTTCTTGCTTGGGTCTCTGCATTCACATCCAATCATTGCAAAGAGAAACTTCTCTGATTAATCTTAAGAGAAGCCTTTGTCTGTGGGAATAAACATAAAAATTTAGAAGACAGTTTGACACTATTAATTTAGCTAAGGACTAAGGCCTCCTTAGTCATAGTTTTGTTTTATTTTTCCAACCCAGTTTATAATACTTGACATGGATTTCTTTTTGTGGACTGGGCTTCAAATCCAATGAAGGAACACTTGTTTATCCTTGTAGTAGTCACGCCACTATTGTACCAGTGGGCACATCTTGCCTGGCAGGTTGGTAGTGTAGGTCAGAGTTCACAGCTGGGTAAGACCATTGTTACTTAGTCTCCCAGAAGCATGGACAGCACTATCTAGCTAGCACTGTGAAAACTATCCATCAGGAAGCATCCAGCTCAGTTCAAACTTGCTCTCTCTGTATCTTGCTACCATAGTACATGTAGTCTTCAGCAATGAGGTTTTATCATCTATTTCTATAGACAACCAAGATGAATGGTAATAGCCTGCATTGTTTGGGGGCCACTAGAACCTCCTTAAACAACAGCTCCTATGAAAGTATCCCACACGTGGCACTGTTTTTTAAGTCACTCTTACCTAGCTTGCTTTTCTGTTCCTCTGAAAAAGCACTGACCAAAATCATCTTTGGGGAGAAAAGGGTTTATTTGTCTTACAGATTACAGTCATCATCAAGGGAAGCTAAGACAGGAACCTGGAAGCAGTAACTGAAGCAGAGACCATGGAGGAATGGTACTTACTGCCTTGCCTTCCATGGCTTGCTTAGCTTACTTTCTTACACAGTCCAGGACTACCTGCCCAGGGGTTACACTGCACAGTGAGATGGACCCTCCCATTAATTAAGAAAATTCCCCACAAACATGCCACAGTCTCATCTTATGGATATAGTTCTTCAACTGAGGTTCCATCCTTTTGGATGACCACAATCTGTATCAGGTTGACATAAAAAAAAAACCACTAGTACACCTTTGTCAACTTGTGATCAATCACTATTAAACTGTAAGGTTTAATAGTGCTTCTTGGTTATCCCTTAGATCTTATGTTAAGAGCACAATGTAAAACACAAAATTTAAAAGTCACTGTTTGAACAGTTTTGTTTCTACCCCCCTCCACATTTTCTTGCCTTTATGATTCTATCCCCACATCCTTAAGACAACACTGTATACTTTCTGGTTTCCTGAACTCATTCCATAGATATTCTAAGTTAAACACAAAATAAAAAGTTGAGGTCAGGATCAGCACATAAGAAAGAGAGACCATGCATTGTCTTTCTGGGCCTGGATTACCTTTCATACATATTTCTAATTTCATCCATTTCCCTGCACATTCCTTATTTTCATTTTTCTTCATAGCTGAATAAAATGTCATTGTGCATGCATACCACAGTTTCATTATCCATTTATCAGTTAATGGATATCTAGGCTGATTCTGTTTCCTAGCTATTGTGACTAGAGCTACCATGATTATACATGTGCACATGTCTCTTTAGTAGAATATAAATTTATTTGGAGTGGTATTAACTGGGTTTTATGGTAGTCTATTTCTAATATTTTTGAGGTAACTCCAGACTGGCATCTAAAGTGGATATACCAGTTTATACTTCCACTAGTGTTGTATAAATGGTCCCCTTTACCTATAACCAGGCCAGTGTTTGTTGTCCTTTGTATCTTTGAAGATAGCCAGTCAGACTTGTGTGAGATAGAATCATAAAGTAGCTTTATTATTTTCGTATGATTTATTTATTTTTATTTTATGTGCATTGGTGTTTTGCCTGCATGTATGTCTGTGTGAGGGCGTTGGATCTTGGAGTTAGAGACAGTTGTTAGCTGCCATGTGGGTGATGAGACTTGAACCCTGGTCCTCTGGAAGAACAGTCAGTGCTCTTAACCACTGAGCCATCTCTCCAACCCAGCTTTATTATTATTTTTTAAATTTTATGTGTATGGATGCTTTCCCTGCATGTATGTCTATATACCATGTGTATATGGTGCTTGCAGAGGCCAGAAGAGGGTATCAAATTCCCTAGAACTGGAGTTACACACAGTTTTTCAGTTTTGGAAATTGAACTCTGGTCCTCTGAAAGCCTTAACTGCTAAGCCATTTTTCCAGCCCTTTAATAGTTTTAAAATACATTTCCCTGATGACTAATTATATTGAACCCTTTTTAAAGTGTCTTCTAGCCATTTATATATCTTCTTTTGAGAACCCTCTTGTTGTGATTCCCATAGCCCATTTGGGTTGTTTTACCAAGTTTATATATTTGAGTCCCTTATATATTCTAGTTAATAATTCTTATCAGATATAGTTGACAGATATTTCTTGCCATTCTGTGGTCTGCTTCATTCAGTCAATGGTGTTTCATGCTGTACAGTTTATTTTTAGTTTCACGAGATCAAATTTATCAGTCATTGGCCTTATTTCCTGTGCTATTAGAGTCCTCTTCACAAAATCTTTATGCCTACATGTTGAAAACCATTATGCCTGTATTTGAAGTATACTCTTTACTTTTTCATTTAGCAGATTCAGGGTACCAGATTCTATATTGAGGTCTTTGATCCATTGGAGTTGACTTTTGTGCAGGGTGAAACATCAAAACATTTAAGATGTCTTAAATAATGATGCATCTTAAGGCTTTGGGGGAGGAAAACAGAACAAATTGAACAAAGTAGTAGAAGGGAAGAAATAATTAATATAGGGTAGAAATTAATGAAACAGAAACAAACAAAAATTGCAAAGCATTAGTGAAACAAAGAATTTATTCTTTGAGAAAATAAAGGAGATTGATAAACCCTTAGCCAGATTAACTCAAATGAAGAGAACACTCAGATTAATAAAATTTGTTATGAAAAGTGAGGCACGTCTTTAATCCCAGAACTCAGGAGGCAGAGGCAGTCAGATCTTTGAGTTTGAGGCCAGCATGTTATACAGAGTGAGTTCCAGCACAGCCAAGACTACACAGAAAAAACCCTGTCTTGAAAAGTAAACAAAGAGGATATAGTAATAAAAATTCTCACAACCAAAATCCTCCAGTGCCAGATTATTTCATTGAAGAATTCTATTAGATCTTGAAAAAAATTAACACCAGTGCATTCAAATTATTTTACAATGTAGAAAAGAAAAAGGATGCTTCTAAATGTTTTTACAAAGCCAGTATTGTCCTGATACCAAACTAGACAAAGACAACAAAAATAAATAAAAGGCTCAATATACTTGATATACGTAGAAGTAAAATATATCAATACTTGTTATTTTCAGTATTAAATCAAGTGTATTTATCATAGTCACATTGCCTTCATTCCAGAGATGCAAGGATAGTTCAACATATGGAAATCAATAAATAATAATTCACTGCATAAACAGATACAAAGATAGAAGTCATATGACTGGTGCAGGAAAGGCCTCTTCAAGCTAAAAATCATGGGGCGGGGTTGTGTTGCTGGAGAGATAGCTCAGCAAAGATCACTCATTACTTTTGGAGAGGACCATCTATAACTTCAGTTCCAGGGGATTCAGTGCCCTTTTCTGGCCTCTGCCAGCACTGTATTCATGTTGTGCACATGCAGGCAAAACATAAATAAATCTAAAAAATAAGTCATGAATAGGTTAAAGATGGAGGGAACATACCTCAGCATGATAAAGGCTTTATGCCACAAATTGAGCCAGCATCATCCTAAATGGAGAAAAACCCAAAGCATTCCAACTAAGATCAGGAGCAAGGCAAGGATGTTCACTCTACACTGCCGTTTTATATAATGTTTGAAATCTCCACTAGAGCAGTAAGACAAAAAGAAATAAAAGGGATACAAATAAGAAAAGTCAAAATGTTTCTTTTTGCAAGTGATATGATTAGAAACTCTAGATATTCCACCAAAATAAACCTCTAAGAGCTGAGAAAACACTTTAGTGAGGTGGCAGAATATAAAATTAATATGCAAAAGTTAGTAGCCTTCCTATATACCAATGAAAATCACACTGAAGAAAATCAGTAAAATCTCCTTTAGAACACCAAACACACACACACACGCACGCACGCACGCACATGCACACACACACATATACACACACACTTGCGAGCAACAATACCTGAGAATAAACTTAACTAAGGAACAAAAAACGTCTACAATGAAAATTTGTTTTGTTTTGGTTTTTCAAGACAGGTTTTCTCTGTGTAGCTTTGGAGCCTGTCCTGGAACTTGATTTGTAGACCAGGCTGCCCTTGAGCTCACAGAGATCTCCTTGCCTCTGGCTCCTGAGTGGTGGAATTAAAGGCGTGCACCACCATTACACTGAAATTTTAAAACAATGATGAAAACAGTTAATGAAGACATTAGAAGATGGAAAGAGCTCACATGCTTACAGATCAGAAGATTCAAAATTGTAAAATGGATGTCCTTCCAAAGGCAATCTGTAGATTCTAGGGACATTCTTCATAAAAATAGAAAAGACAATCTTAAAGTTTATATAGAAGCACAAAAGACCCAATGATAATCAAAACAATTCCAAACAAAAAGAACAGTATAGGGGCCGGACATTGGTGGCTCACGCCTTTAATCCCAGCACTTGGGAGGCAGAGGCAGGTGGATCTCTGTGAGTTCGAGGCTAGCGTGGTCTACAGAGCGAGTTCCAGGACAGGCTCCAAAGCAATACAGAGAAACCCTGTTAGGGATAATAGAGGAGGTATGAACATACATAATTACAGGCTATACTACAGAGTCATAGTAATAACTGCATGGTACTTGTAAAAAATAGATCAATGGTATAAAGGACCTAAATATAAATTCATGCTAAAAGATATCAAAAAATAGAAACTGGTGAAAAACAATATCTTACAACAAATGGTATTGAGAAACCTGAGCATCAACAGGTAGAAGAATGAAACTAGATCCACTTTATTTTCCAAAATAATGTCTCATTGAAGCAGGAGCTAGGAGCTCAACAATTCAGATAGACTGACTTGCCAGGAATCTATCTGCCTATCACTACCTCCCTATTCCTCTACCCATCACTGGCTTTTATATCAGGTACTGGAGATCTGAACTCAAGTCTCCATGCTTGCTTTGTAGGTACTTTACTGACAGAGCCATCTCCCTAGGTTCATTACTAACTGTTTCTAAAAACTACTTTCTATAGAGCAGTTTTAAAAATATATATATATACAAATAAACTAGTTTGAAGAAACTATACCTGTGGAGCCTAGAATCAAGGGCTGTTGTAATTATTCTCCTGTCTGTTATACTAATAGACTAGATTGGGGAACTGTATTTTTAACATTTAATTCTCTTTGGATCCTTTACAGAACTTTTTGGGTGGCAGATTCCAGCCCCATTTTAAGTCACATCTGGTACAGAAGAGCTTGTATATTCAGGCTAAATACCAGCGTTTACGGTTTGCTGGACCAAGGGGATTTATTACCAATAAATTCAGAAACAGATTTCTGAGGAGAAAAAAGGTTAGTTTGACAATAACCTTTTAAAAAATATTGAGTAACTTTAAAAGTTTGTTAGATAATTGGGATTTTCATCTACTTTAAGAAACAACCTAGATTTTTAAAATGTTCATATTGCATGATAGCTGAATGGAAACTTCAAAGTTAGTGCTGATAGAAATGTGAAACTATATAAACTTAAAATGCTTTTAGCCATTCTACGTGAAACAATTTAAGTATGGCAGCTTGTTGTATGACAAAACTTTTCCTGGGGAGATTTAATATATGTGTCTACCCAACCCAGACAGGGAAGCTATGACAGACTAAAGTACAGATATCACCAGAATCCCACTAGGTGAGCCAGTGAGTTTTATTGGGATTACTTACAGGATCAGAAATGACTCAAAGACAGCTGCCTCACCAAAACCCACCCCAGCATGGGTGACAGCTCACAAACCTGAGAACCTGGAACACACCGCACAGCCTGCAGGCAACTCAACAGATTGAAGAATGCTTTCCAGGTGCCTCAGCTGTTCTAAACCTCCAGGCAGCTCAGTTGATTTCTGCCTCTTTCAGCCAGTTGGTCAGTTCTCAGTCTTCTTTGCAGCTTTTTCCCACCGAGAATCTTCTTTAGAACTCAACTTGTCTGAGTCTTCTTGGCAGCTTGACTCCCATTTGAGAGTCATCTTTGCCCCTCAGCTTTCTTCCATATGAGAGGCACTCTTTTTATTAATTAATTTATTTTTAATTTCATTTTACATCCCAGCCTATTTCTCACATTCATGGATTTTTTGTTGCTGTTTTTGCTTTTGTTTTTTGTTTGTGATCATTGATTTTAATCGAGACTATCCCTGTGGCCACAAATTTGCAACTGTCCATTGCAACCTCATGAGTTTACCATTTAGCACACAAATGAAGGCAATGATTATCTCTTCCCCAGAATTCATCAGTTGCCAATAGTTTAGCTGGGAGGGTGTCTTAGTTACTTTTTCTGATGCTGTGACAAAGCACCATGACCAAGGCACTTACAGAAGAATTAATTTAGAACTTATAGTTTCAGAGGGTTAGAGTCCATGGCCATCATGGCAGGGAGCATGGCAGTGATCAGGCAAGCATGGCACTAGAGCAATAACTAAGGTCTCACATCTTGATCTGTAAGTACAAGGCAGAGAAAGCTAACTTGGAATGATGTGGGTTCTAACCTCAAAACCTATACCCAGTGACATATCTCTTCTAACAAACCACTTCTAACAAAGCCATACCTCCTAATGCTTCTTATACGGTTCTACCAACTTATAGAGAGTTATCTATATGAGCTTTTGGGGGCCATTCTTATTCAAACCACAACAGAAGGTAGGGTCCTATAAGTCCTTCTTCTGATCCATGATTGGCTATTGACACTCCTGGTCATGTGTAAGCTCAGTGTGAGTAAGCTGCTGTGAGATTATTTTTGACATGGTTTTATCATGTCCTGAAGATAACATTGCAGTCCTCTTCCCTATCATCTTGTTCTTACATTATTTCTACACCCTCTTTTGCAGTGTTCCCTGTGCCTTAGAGGGGTTGGCATACATGAATATCCTGTTTCTGAGTACTCAACTATCATTTATTTGAAGCATCTTTACTATCATTCACTACAAAGAAAAACTTCTCTGATCAAAGCTGAGAGTATCATGTATCTATAAGTTTAAACATAAGTATTTAGACTTCAGTTTGGTGCCATGTTAAATTTAGCTAAACAGTAGTAAACCCTTCACCTTCCCAGCCATAGGTTTCTGATAGGATTTACATTACTATACTATACTTGTATTTCCTCCTATGGAGTGGGCTTTAAATCCAGTCCAAGAATGCTATTGTGTGAATGGGCACAACTTGCCTGGCTGGTTGGCATTGTAGCATACGGAGTCCACAGCTGGTAAGACTGTTGATGCCTTTACTCCCCTAGCAGCCTGCATAGTAACATTCTCTACTATGAAATCTAGACAGCAGTGAGGAAGCATCCTTCTCAATTACAGCTTGCTTTCTCTGTATCTTGTAACCAAGGTGTGCAGAGTCTTTAGCAATAAGATCTTATCATCTAGTTCTAGTAGGCAACCAAGAGGAATGGTAATAGCTTGTATTGTTGTGGGAGTCTCTGGGGCCTCTCTGGCCAACAATTAGTAAGGAAATATTCCATACTTAGCACTGGGATTTTTGTTTTATATGCAGTGGCTTCTAGGAGCAGTATTATACAGCTATGTAGAATATGTCCTTTTTAAAATCATTTTAATTGGCTTACAAAATAATAGATTTTCATGTTATTTTTCATAAGTTGGGCTCTAATTCTTATAACTTAGTATTATATATGTGTTGATTTGGCCTATTCTGATCTGGCCAATGTCTTACTGCAAGCTATCTTCAGATAGGTTTATATAAAGTTTTATTTAAACAAAGCCCAACTCTGAGTATAGCATGAAATTAGGTACCCTACTTTTAGCATACTGCATAACAGGTGAGCTCCATTTTTCTAACCTTTGGGGAAAGGAATGAGACATGGCAGCTATTGTATCTGTCAAGTCCAAACAAAGGTATTTAACAGCTAACTAGACCTTTAAGCTACCCCTCCCATGTGAGCAAATTGATGACCGGCCTCATCAGTCTGTTTTACCTCAGTCTTTATGCCCTAAAAAGAATGAAGTTTACAGTTATTGGTTTCTGCTAATGTTGACTTTCATTTTCCTTAAAGTAAGGACACTTTTGCACAAATGGGTTTACTGAGCTCGAGGTACCATTTACATCATTTTGTGTGGGTGTGTGAGTAGGGTGTGTGTGTGTCATTGAAGATAAAACTGTGGGACTTACATATGCTAAGCAAGTATTCTGCAGCCTGCAGTTAAATTATTTAATATCCCAAGTTTTGGCATCAGAGGAAACTTTTAGAAATTCTGCCCTAGAAAGATACCTTAATCTGTGTAGCATCTTGTGGTGGTTTGAATGAGAATGGCCCCATAGGCTTATGTGTTTGAATGCTTGATCACCAATTAGTGGAACTGTTTGTGAAGGATTAGGAGGTGCGGCTTTGTTGAAGGAGATGTGTCACTGTGAGTGGGCTTTGAGGTTTCTAAAGCGAATAACAGGCCTACTGTCTTTCTGCCTGCTGCCTGTTTTTTTTTTTGATTCAAGACACATTTGCCATTTTAATATCTTTCCCGCTCATTTACATCAGTCCCATGGGGCTCTCTATACATGATCAAATGTTTCTCTTGTATCGAGAGCATCCAGTGTGCACAGCACATACAGCTATCTGGGTCGATAGCTGTATTAACTATAGACCGACTCGTTAGTAACAAGCAGATACAGAAACCGTAAACCCATCCCACAATGAAATTCCAAAGGTTCAGCCTTGTTCCTGAACACAGGAAAGGAAGCTGGCTGAAGAAACGAAACAGCTGGTCAGGGAGGACCACTGCCTGCTTGAGGTAACATAGCTGCACAAAATCCCATCAGAGCAGAGAAGGTACCTTCCAGCATTTGGTTAACTCAAGCAGGAGGCCATCCTGGGCTACAGAATAAGACCCTATCTCACACATACCCCCCCCAAAAAAAGAGGAAGACATAACTCTGTTGACTGAGTGACCTGGCATGCTCCTGATTTCAATCCCTAATACACCCCTAATAAAGTGTGTATGGCCATGGCCAACGCCTGTAATCTCTCAGCACTTTGGAAGTAGGGGCAGGAGAATCAGAAATTCCAAGGTCATCCTCAGCTGCATAGCAAGTTCAAGGCCAGCCTGGGCCCTGTCTTTAAAAAAACAAAAGACCTTTAACCACCTTTCCCAACACTCTTGGAGTCTAGGGTCTGCTTTCAAAACCACAAAATTTGTATTGTCCAGTAAGCCATCAAACAGAAAGGGAAGTTTAAGATGTTCTCCCACCTCAGCTTCGGGGTGTGGCCTCTTCCTTCTTGAGCTGTGGTACAGAATAGTATTTTAAGTATCCGATTAGCATTCAAACAAAGAGTTTTTGAAAGGAATGTGAAAGACAAAAAAAATGCCAATCAGATTTTCCCATCTTGCTGTCTGTAGCCTCCCATAAAGTTAATTTGGGATGCGACTGCGAAGCCTCCCCAGCAGTCTTAACGTCTTGGGGAGAAGCATTCAGGGCATTCACTGTAGCAAGCTAAGGTCATTTTGTGTAAACTCCGAAGAGTCATTCATTAAAATTAAATGCTCACCCTCACCTCAGCCCTTTTTTAAATGCCACTGGCCCTGCCTCTTCCATCTTGGTCTCTGCAACAGGGGTTACATTCACAAAATATATAAAGAAAAAATAAGGGTTACTTGACTTGGTGACCATATAGTGCACTCCGACAGCTGGGCGTGCATATTTTCACCATGAATACCCCTTACTAAAAGTAAATCATTGGGTAAAGATAGCAGGAACGTGACAAGAGGATGCTACATGTGGAAGAGAAGCAGGCAGAGTCTCCAGCTTGATCACCAGGGGCTCAGGAACACTGAGGTAGATGGGAATAGAGTGGCCATTCTTACTAAGGGCCATGAACATGCCGGGGTACGCCTGGGATTTGTAGGCGTTGTAATTGTTGGGCAGAAGAATCTCTTTGAATTTACACTCGTCGGTAAAGAAAGGCACACCGAAGAGCTTGCCCCTGCTGCTCATGGCCACGAAGAACCGACTGGCCACCCTGAAGATGCTCACCATGCCCCCACTGCACCGGGGAGAGCTCCAGAAGGCTGTCGCTGATGGCAGCGTGTAGGCCACCAATGCAACCCTCGGGCAGCACCTGCAGGTGGAATCGGATACCCACGTTGCAGTATAGCCGCCCCCGCAGTCTTTTGAGGCCCAGCAGGTAGTCCCCTGCGCCACTGCAGACCGCAGTCTGCAGGGGCTGCGTGGCTACCGGTAGGCGCACCAGCGAGCGAGCCACCAGGCCGTCCCAGCCGCGACCCAGTTCGGCCGGCCATGTGCCATTGGGTGCGGCGGCGCCTCGGACCACCAGGACTACCAACAGGCTCAGCAGGACT